GAGATCCAGATCCCCTCCTTTGTAGCTTTCATCGATTATAACACAATAAGAGCGGTAAGTATAACCCAGCTCTGGTGAATAAACCTTTATATGCTTGGTGGTATCTTTTGAATATCCCAGAAATATCCCAACCCTTGCTGTATCGCGAAGTTTATCATGCCTTTGTCCTTTTGGGATAATTTTGGGATTGATATAGGCGTAACATCGACTCCCCCAGACCTTACATATATCAATATCTAGTAACATACCTATAAATATTTCGAATAAGCTTCGATTGATTTTATTTACATCTGGGCCAATGTTAGTGCAATTTCGAATATATACGTCGTGCTTTGCAGCTTCATTCCAAAACTCTAATAATAAATAAGCTTCTTTCAATATTGCTCTCATATCAATTTCTGCAATGCGTATATTACATTCGGCTGGACCATTTTAGTGAGACAATACAACCACTGTAACCTCTAATCACACACCAATCTTCCATTCCCGTACGGCTTGAAGAAGTTCTGATACATTATCGATTCTGGCAGTAATTACAGCTACACCTATAGCAAGTTTAATTTCTTGCTTCCAGGCTTTTAACAAGGATATTACATCGCTCTTCTGTTTCAATAGAATAATCCAATTTACCCTTATAACGCTATCGATAATGAGGAGAAAGTATCTATATCCTCAAATAAACTTTGGGAAAGGGCCAGCAATATCAAAATGAATCAATTCCAATCTTTTGGATTTTTGTGCATTTAATTGACTTGGGATTCTATTAGTCATCTTTGTAAGAGCACACACTTCATAGATATCAAGAATTGAAGAAACCTTGATAGGTCTTTGGAGTATAATAATTTTGTACAGATTTCTAATTTTGTCAGGGCTGAGATAATTGAAGCGTCTATACCAAATAAGGTATCTTTCTTTCTCCGTTATAATTAATTCTTCGACTTTCCCTTTTGTGCCATCAATGATCTCTGTAAAGAGTACAAAGAATATAGAGTCTTTATATCCTAATTTTACATGCGAAATGACGTACATCCCATCTTTTATTGTGGCTTTAATAATCTTATTATTCTTATCGTTTTCTAGTGTGAAGTACATCTTTTTGAGATTGAATGTACCCTTGAGTTCTACCTTACAAATTCTCTTGGCTGAAAATAAATTAACCCCCAATCCAGGTATATATAGCACCCCAGCTAACGATGTCCTTGTTTTATCCTTGCATACCATGTCCATTGTTCCTCATTCATCCGAGTACATAGCTCCCCCACCAACCGTTATCCTTTGTTGCGGAGTATGAGTTAGACTTCTGAAGAGAGAACGTTGGTCAGACATGTGTGAGATGGCACCGGTATCAGCGTACCATTGCGATAAGAATGCCTTACTAATACTTTCTTTGGTGAGATAACAATGCTCAGAATCAGACTCGTCATTGGCGACACCTTCAGTGGCATCGGAGCTTGATTCAGTGATATAAGCCTTATACTCCCTATGCTTTTTGTTTCTTCGCAATGGAGAGGTGGATTGTCTTCTCTTCTGTTTGTGCTTTGAATCAGATTTCAAAAGACGCTTGGCACAACAGAGTTAAAAGCATTTTTGGACTGAATGACCAGGTTTGTTGTAGAGTTCGCAAGTGACGATGGATGTGTCGGACTCCGAGCTTGTGCTAGCCTTGTGCTGGCGATGAGGTGGGACATATTTCTTTCCTTTTGCAAGATATGCCGAATCTCCAGAGTTCTGTATTTCTGCCTCTTTGACCTGCAGATGCTTGATTTTATCATTAATACTTAATGTAGAACTAACAACACGAATTATATTAATAATGACTTTGTATTCATCAGGGAGAAACAAGGTCAAGCTTTGAAAGAGTGATTTGTCCATACATAAAGCGCCAGCTGAAGCGTCTGCAAATAAAAGCTTTCATCGAAGATCTTTAAGCTTGTCCCAGGCACCTATGATTGTCATATCAGGGGTATCATCAAAAGAGAAGATCTTGATCTTGAGGAGGTACTCGTCTGCTACGATATTATTGATTCTGAAGTATTTGATAGTCAGATAATCCCAAAGTTTCTTTGCTATATTATATTCTTCCACTAAAGCTTCATCATCATTAGATAATGAGCGATAAATGTAAGATAATGCACTAGCATTATTCTTAAGAAAGGTGGCCTTTTTGTCTATATTGAGTCGAATCTTTGTGGTGGCACTGCCATTGCCGCTGGAGATGTGAAGTTCTTCGAAATCCTGGATTAAATCATTGGCTACTGCAATCCGTGTATATTCATACAATGTCTTTTTGTATGTATAGAATCAGCCTTTTCCTTGAAATTGAATTCTTATTTGATAAATCCAGCGTTCGTGGTTTTCTTGAGTAAGAGAAAGGATATGCTTGAAGTAATCCCTGGATTTAGTGTCTTTGTTTATTTTGAGGTTCTGTAAGTACAAAACTTGTATCGATAACCTGAATATATTTGATTAATGGAATGAAAGAGTGGAAAAGGAGAGAGAAACTATTCCAACTACACTATCCCGATTTGGATGTATTAGTATTTGAAGAGAATTTTTCTTTTCAAAACGAAATAATTGAAAATAGTGAATTTTGAATTGTAAATAATGATTTTTGAAGTGATATCGAATATTATATAGCAGGTAGAGCTCTTCGATATCAAGCCAAAATAGATAATCTTTTTAGTAATAACTCGTAGTTTTCTTACTTGAAGAAAAGGTGTGATATAAGAAATTACTTCGCTATTGTTACTCAGCAATTTGTTTGCTGTACACACTTCATATATTGACATCGCATTGCATAGGAGCTTCTCATCATCAACCTCTACTTTGGCAACGTAAGCTATTCAAAGAGTTTTCGGTCTTAGTCTTATTGCAGAGCTACCGGGCTCATAACCTGTTCACAATAAAGAAGCAGGCCAGTGGAATGCATATATTATTGACTATGTAGATTGATTGTACTAAGGTAAAAACTAACTACTAAGTGGAAGTGATATATGAACAGTAGCTTAAGCGCACGTGCCACAACTTCCAACAATATATATAATTAAATATATAATCTCTTCTTATATATAAGCTTTTAAATCTTTATAATCCTTTTAACTTTATAATTATAAATTCTAAAATTATTTAATATTCTAAATTAATAGTTTTATTATATTATTTATAATTTAATTTATCCTTTTAACTATATTAACAACTATTTAAATAATATTAATATTCAATCTTTTTTATTTTTAAATCTCTTTTTTAAAGATTCTTTAAATAATAAAAATAGATTTATTCTAATATTATTAATTTATAATATTACTTGTAAATATTTAAATTATTTATTTTATATAGTTTTTAAAAACTTTTAAATAAAGATTAAATAAATTATTTTATATTAGTTATATAATAATATATTATAAATAAAGATTATATTATTCTTAGAATTAATAATTAAAAAGTTAAAAAAATTAAAAAACTTTAAAAGTTTATATATATATAATAATTATATAAATTATATATTTAAGATATATATATATATATTAAATATATTAAAAAGTTTATTTTATTATTAAATAGTTAAATAAATATTATATAACTTTTATTAAATTTATATAATAAATAATTAGTTTATTAATCTAAATTAATAAATTTAAAGATTATTATAATTATTAATTTTAAAAGTTTAAAATATTTAAATTATTATAAAAATTAACTTTCTTTCGCTTTTTTGTTACGGGAGCTGCCTCTAGGGTCACGTGGAAGTGTCTAGAGATCTCTCGAGGTGGTTTAGACTAGACTTCAAGTAGGAATTCAATAAGGTTGTAACTGGTTGCAATTCTCGTAACTATAGTAATGAAACTAATGATTGTTCTTGAGCACGAAGCTCTACATTGTAATGAAACCCATTCCCTTATATAGACCTTCGTTCCTTGTTGTCCCATTGATCCCATCGTGTCCCACCAGGTGGGAGCAGTGGGATCCAGTGGGAATCTCTAATCCCGTGACTTTCTGATCAGGTGACTCGGTATGTTGGATGTCGTCGTAACATTTTTCTCTTCTTGATCTATTACTCCTACTAGGCTATCAACTTCTCCACATCTGTTAAAAATACCACAGCACAAATTACCTCGCTTGTCTTCATCTTCCCTGAAAAGTATCTCTCAAAGCCACAGTACGTTATCAAAAAGCCTGAGTCTTCAACAAGATGGAGACTTCGAGACGAAAATCTGATGATGGAGATAATGAACTGAATAATACTTTATTTAAAGTACGTTCAATTGCTACTAACTTTATATAAAAATGGTTCCGGCCTAATAAAAACTATATAGAATGTATATAATGGAATGATTTGATCACTCCCAATTGTTTATTAAGTTAATTGAACTTGAAATATAGGAAGTAAGTTTCTTATACTGGGATTCTGATTACAGTTATTTTGGACTAAGCTGCTGGTATTATTTGGGAATAGTGTGTAAGTGATTATTGGATTGTTCTGCGTTGGACAGCTTTAACTAATCTATTGGTGTTACTTACTTGGGAATAGGCTGTAAGTGATCACTAGACGATTTCGCATTGGATAGCTTGAACTAATCTACTGGTGTCACTTGGGAATAGCGAGTAAGTGATCACTAGACGGTTTCGCATTGGATAGCTTCAACTAATCTACTGATGTTATTCGGGAATAGCGTGTAAGTGATCACTAGACGGTTTCGTACTAGATAGCTTCAACTAATCTACTGGTGTCACTTGGGAATAGTCTGTAAGTGATCATTAGACGGTTTCATACTGGATAGCTTCAACTAATCTACTGGTGTCACTTGGGAATAGCGTGTAAGTCAACTTCTATAGTTATATTACCATTTGCATTGTATATCTGTTAAACGAAATATAGAATGAGTCCTGGATTCATTACTTAGAGCATAGTCTTTCTCGATACCTTACAGACTTATCAGAACGAAATACTCTTCGGACCTTCAAGCCATGTCCTAAATGCAGGCCTCTCCTCTCATCAAATGGGTCAGTCAAGGTTTCGAATCTAAGGGCCACTGAACAAACATGCCCTCTCTGCGCTACAGTTATTCGCCATGTCAATAAGAGAGGTAATTGCAACGGATTGGATATTCTCATTGAGAATACTGAATCAGTAATAATTGTGCAACCAAGTCGACGCTCTATTTTCCGATTGTATTCTGGTATGGCATTGTTTCTTTAGTTCTATATATAAGTTCTCGGTAATAATTTATCCACCCTTTCCCTTTAGATCCCCCAGATCCTGAGGGACCGCCTGGTACCCAAGGAACGCCTGATCAGTCTCCCATCAACTTTCCAGGTTCTTTGCGGTTTCCATTGCTACGCGCATGGCTTCAAAGATGCGATAAGGAACATCGTGATCGTATATCGAGTCGCCGTTACGCCATGCCAACACGGCTTCTCAATGTCAGCCCATCGAAGGATACGGCGGATCTACGGCTTGACGAAATGGACCCCTCTGATACTATCGATGGAATCCAATATATTGCTCTTTCCCATTGTTGGGGTCAGCTACCACCAAACGAGGTGCCTCCATACTGTACCACCAGGCAAAACATTGAACCACGTCGAGTAGGATTCACCGTCGTCGACCTGCCACGGACTTTTCAGGACACCATCGAAGTAACTCGAAAACTTGGCTTGCAGTACCTCTGGATCGACTCACTTTGCATTCTTCAAGGTGAAGGCGGTGATTGGGAGCAAGAATCCAAGCGAATGGAAGATGTCTTTGCCTCGGCTTACTGCACGGTAGCTGCAGCATCAGCTTCTGACTCCAGTACTGGTTTCCTAGAGCAGCAAATTGAAAATGAGAACGTCTACATCCAAAATGAATTAGGACAATACTTCTATCTCTCTACAAATCTAGCAGACTTTGACCAGGATGTAGAAAACAGTCAGTTAAATCAACGAGCATGGGTCTTGCAAGAGAGGTTTTTATCTCGTCGGACGATTTATTTCAGCCGCAATCAGGTGTACGGGGAATGTGGGGAAGGCATATATGCAGGCGATATGATTTATTTACGATGGTAAGATTTACAACAGTCTCTTATGCTAGTAAATCCTAACTATTCATATAGTGAGGACCAGACCAAGAAGCATTTTCAGCTTGACCCAATGTTTCCAAAGCGACTTCAAGATTCAGGCTACGCTGCAACACTGTCTTTCCTCCTGTCTTTCCTAGAGGATTATTCGCGACGCGGCATTACGAAACCTACAGACAGAGCTGTTGCAATATCGGGGCTGGTGACTCGCCTCGCAAGCATTCTGCCCTGCGAGGTACACCACGGTATATTTAACATGTTTCTTCACAGAACCCTTCTTTGGCGACGATCAGGTCACCAAGAATTGAAGAGGATTAAGTACATGTCTAATAAGCCAGTGCCATCGTGGTCTTGGATGGCATATGAAGGACGTATTGAATTCCCGCGTGATGACCATGGCGCCTTGGAGTTGTTCACAGACCTCACATTCAACGTACAAAACTTAACCATTATCGTATGGGAATTCACAGATTCGGCTATGAAACTCAAGAAAGAAAAAGATGGTACGTGTTATGAGCTGCTGGATTCCAATGATGTGAAGAAAGGATGGGTAGATCTTGACGAAGAGAAAGAGCTTCCTGCAAAACGAGGCGTGGTTCTCGTGGCGAAACACAAGACGGATCAGCCCGGTAACTGTCAATACTTCGTGTTGATCGTCAGATCAAAGGAATCCAATGATGAGTATGAGAGACTTGGGATAGGAATGATTCAGACAGATTGTGGATTACGCAAGAAAGGAAAGGTGCGCATTTTGTAACGATTCAAGGGCGTGGTACCTAAAGCGGAAACGGCAAGCTATGCTTGGATAGTAATTCTTCAACAGAACTTTGGAAATTTTGAGGATCATTCAACATATATCCTCACTTCTTCTATAACAACTATAAGGAGGTCAAGCATTCACATTTCTATTAGTATTCAAATTGTATCTATGAAATTGAGTATTCATTTCCCTCTCTCAGCTTTGCCAAATGCCGATAATATGATTTGTTATGTTGGATAATGAAGTAATGCTTATAAGAGACTACATTTCTGTTCGCCCCTATACGAGCACTCAGTACAGTATAGACCGATGAATCAACCCCAAACTGAAGTCAAAGGAATCCATACATTGCACGGTTGTAGCCCGACGAAGCAGCCAAGAAAACGTGACTATGATGGACAGGATAATTTGTCCCTAGACGGATCAGTCATGAAAGCAGTATAGCAGCTTTTTATACCTGCAAGGACAAATGATGCTAACTTGTGCTAATAAAGTATTATGATTGATAGGGGATTGCAAAGACGGTGAGTCCTGAAATACATAATGAAAACAAAGGGTCGGTCTCTGTCCTTGCTCAGGGCCATTTCTATGGCCAATACCTCCAATCTAGACATTATCAGCAGTAATCCAGTCAAGGACGGGCTCTACGCTTTTCGTCGGCTCTTCGAATCAACGCGCATAGATCTAGACGTCGTTGAATCTTCCAACACTGTGCAAGCTGTCCTTTCAGGAGCAACGGGTACAGGTATGGCCCAAATTATTGTGGCTCGAAAGAAAGCTAAATTTAAAAACGGGTTATTCCGGCGCTGGACCCTTTTTGACTTCGCCTCATCGGCATTTCTTACGTAATCATATCGCACCCGCCACTACTCAGCAAATTCGCGACAACTTGTATCCTCGCATCTCAGGTCCTCAGTCCTCCATTTACGGCCTTTTCGATCTGCCATCATGGCTACAGCCTCCGAACTGGACAAAATCAGAAGTGAACCGATCAAGGAAGGGTTAGGCACCTTCCGTCGTCGCTTTGAATCGATACGTTCCGATCTTGGTATCGCGTTGTCGTCCGATACAGTGCAAATCGTCTTTTCAACGGCTGCCACCGCAGGTATAGCTCAACTTCTTGGGATTTTGTTTCTCACTAACGTACATAGTTGTCAAAAGTCTCGTGCTCGACCTTATTCTAGCTTTGCAAAATCAACCAGCAAGCCGTATCCTTCCTTCACGAATTGCTGATAGAACCCTCTCTAGTGACCTTACTATCCTATACAGTCGCGTGGATTCCAACCAGTTGGACAGTGCATCAGCTATCCCTCTGGTTGAACAGATTTTGAGGAATGATCCTGATACACCAACTCGGAATGATGCGGATATTTGGCATGCCGTGTTTGAATTAGTCGCGCGAACAAATCCTATCACACCTCTGACTGCCTTCGAGAAATCCGTCCTCGACACGCCGCTTCGATCCAGCTCGGCTTCTCAGAGAGGAACCGAACAGACGCACGACGAGGTTGATCAACGAATACTCGAAGAACTCACAGGACGTGTCTACTACAATGTGGGAGGGTTCTTTGAGCGATACTTTGAGGAGAAGTCATGGACGAATAAGGCGAGGGATATCTACAACGAGTCGAGGGCCCAATATGCAGAAGGCTGTTGGAGCAGGTGGCCAGAGCCTTCACTTCAAGGTCCATTTTTTGAGTGGTTCACGAAATTCCAGGACACCATTCTCAGCGGATTGGGCCGTAGGTATTACACATCAGCGAACAAAGTGTTGAGTGGCTCGGAGGCTGATCGCAAGCTTAACATTTTTCTCACCCCCGCCGATGCTGTCCTACTACATGGCGAGCATGACTGGTCAAATGTACTTGTCATTGGGGAACACAAACAGAATTCCGATGAGGATGGCTCTACAAAAACATTGGTACAGTTGGCAGGGTATGCGCGTGAGGTGTTCGGAAGTCAACCGGAGCGGCGATTTGTCCCTGGTTTTACGATCTGCGGAAGTATAATGCGACTCTGGGTATTCGACAGATCTGGCTCGTACAACTCTGAGAAGTTCGATGTACACGAAGAGCCTGAGCGATTCGTTAGGGTTATTGCTGGGTATGCATTGATGACGGACGCTGAGTTGGGGTTGAATACATTCGTTAAGCACGATGGCAACGGCAAGTGCATCGTGGCACGAGATGTGAACATTTGTTTGGAGGACAAGCCAATCGCCTCGACAAAAGCGATAGTGTGTCGTGGAACAACGTGTTATCGAGGAAGGAGGAGCGACTCCACGGAATGGGAGTATGTGGTCAAGTTTGCTTGGCCGTCTGATAAAAGGCAGCAGGAGGGAAAACTGTTGAAGTTGGCCAAAGAGAGGGGAGTCACAGGTATTGCTACGTGGTTCAATCATGAGCAGATTGTTATTGACGGCGACCCCGACACTATTTCGCATTTCCGACGAGACATGAATTTCGGAAGGCCACGAAAGCTATCGAGCAAAGCTTCTTGGGTCGACGGCAGTCCGGAATCCAGTCGGCGGTACTCTAAATCAAGTCTCAAAGGAAGATCAAGGAGTAGTTCGAATCGCTTGAAAGGCCTAGGAATTGTTGCAAGTACATCTTCCTCTGGAAAGAAAAGAAAAAGAAATGAAATACTTGATCCGGGGAGCAGACTGAAGAGATCTAAATCCGACGGTAGTCATGCCAGCGGGACGAATATACGTATTCAAGAACGCGAGACAGACGCAATCGGCGCTCACAGCATTCAAGAAACGGTAGTTGACAGTCTGGCCCACTGTCGGAATGAGTGGCAGCGGAACAACGTTAACTGTATTCAGGAAGACGGAGTCGACAGCTTCACGGATTACGAAAGTGAGATGTACGACAATCGAGTGAACTACTGTTTGGTAACTTCACCGGCTGGACGACCTCTCCGCGAATATCGTTCAGTTAGAGAGCTTTTAGAGGTGCTACGCGATGCTATCCGAGGTCATAGGTCGCTGCTAGAGGATGGAAAAATTCTACATCGGGATATCTCCGAAAATAATATCATCATCACTGAGCTCCCTGCTGAAGGTGACCCGAAAGGAAGACTGATTGACTTGGACTTGGCAAAGGAGTTGGACAGTATGCCAAGTGGGGCTCGTCACCGGACTGGCACAATGCAGTTTATGGCGATCGAGGTTCTTGAAGGCAACGGTCATACATATCGGCACGACCTCGAGTCATTTTTTTACGTTTTCTTATGGATGTGCGTCCGATATGGCTACGAAGGTACCGGTAGACCAAAACTTAATAAGCTGATAAGATTGAAGACCAATCTACTGCGAGGTTGGTATACTGGAACATATACAGAAATTGCGAATACGAAGCATGGCCACATGGACAAAAATAGATTTGAGAACATCGTCGCGGAGTTTGCGCCGAAGTTCGAGAATCTCAAGCCGTTGGCTCGCGAACTCCGACATGTTCTTTTTCCAATCAGGGACGGAGCGATCTTTACCGGCACATTCCAGGACCATAGTATAATGTACGATGGGATGATCAAGGCATTCGACAGTGCAATCGACCGTCTGGGAAAGGAGGAACAGGTAAATGCATAGACGAAGCAACTGGGTATTAGCATTATGAGGCGTTTTTTGGGGAGGTAGGGGGAATTTGGATTTTTGTTTTGGGGGCACAAAGGGTCTGGGGAAAACTGTACGATACAATTGATACCAGGGATATCTTATTGTATAATACACCAATAATTGATACTACCACTGTGCTGAAGATGAAGTCTTGAATAGGCGTTTCTTACGCACAGTCGACAGCCATAAGCAGGCAGCGAACCGTTTTCCGACTACAGTTACATGCTCGCCGAATTACATAATTAAACTACCTCATTTAGCAAGTTTAATCGATATTTTAAACAGCCTCAGCCATAAGTTTGACTTCGCTAACGTTCCGCATTTAGAATACACACTCAGAGAGGTGTCCTTCCTTATTTAGTACATTTCATCAAAAAGGCCCAACATATACTATTTTTGACACCATCGTTCTATCAGTGGGTTGTAAGCGCCGTGTAAGCATAGGTCATTTCATACCAAGGAAGATAGTGTAAATGTATCGCATGATGAAGAAGAAAAAAAGACCAGTTCTCCAGGAAAGACTTGTCTATCAAGAAAGATTATTCTTAAAAAGAAAGAGTAGTTCTTGAAAAAGGATTAGTCCTCAAGCAAAGACCAATTTTCAGGGAAAGACTAATCATTTAAGTGAGATTAAGGTCAAAGTTCCCTCGTCCGTACCTAGGGCCCATCTTACAGGGTCAAGGTAATTGGCAGGTGTAAAGCGATTAAACCGCGTAACAGCCGCAGTACAAGCAGCAAAGTGGTCTGGACTCTTGAGCTCCCACAGCAACAAGTTCAGTGTCCTTATGGTGGAAGCGCTCATAGTATGCCGCAAAGCCTCCATGTCCAGAGCGTGCGGCGAGTAGGCGGCCAAGTAGGGGTCGTGGGACAGACAGCCCCTTAGGCAGTCGTGTAGAGAGTGCGTGTAGGCTCATTAGTGTTTACCTCCTTGTCCCCTCGTTGAGAAGTGACGGGACGTCCAAAGAGACAGAGCCGGGTTGGGAATCGGCCTGCGCGCGTTAGGGGCATGTCAATCCGAAGATGTGCTTCTGCGCTTGCATTATCCATGGAGCGGCGGGTCCAGGCTGCGCGGCGTAAGGACAGTTCGTCCAAGACGGCTCGAAGCTCTGTCTAATACGAAGCATGGCCACACGGACAAAAATAGATTTACTTCAATCACTTGTATCTTATACAGGTAGGCGAGAATCACGAGAAGACATGCGTCATCGATATCTTGTCTGATGTCGGTAAAGACAATCATCTTTTCTGGGTTTCGTCGCCTGTTTTATTGAACCAGGACTCTTCAATTCATGGATGATCGCTGCAGCGGAAGTAGGTACATCCTGTACCTCTTTCATCATAACGTAGTGACTGCTAGTAACCGCGTCATCGTTCTCGTCTGTCTCTTTAGAGTCATTATCACATCTGACTTGAACAACACTATCTGCACCAAAATATACCAGAGAATATTTATTGATCCATATATCTGTGAACGGGCCAAATTCAGCATTTAGAGATTCGCTTAGAGGTTCAATTCCGAACAAAGGCTCGCTATCTGAGAGGGTATATATGTCGAGCTGAGGAGGTTTTATGTGATTGGAATGATCGGCCTGTGTGATACGAACTGCTGTTTGACAATCTGTAGATACTCGAAGATAGTAACCTTTATGCTCGCTATTTTCTTTCTGTTTGGAGCAGTACGCGGGGTCGAGCGAAAGTTCGCCGTCTAAAACCATCGCTACTTCGCTACCACCCATCAATGACATCACAACTGCTCTATTGCAATTGTGATTCAGATATATCGTGTCAATATGCCTCTCATCGAATGTTTGATCATCAGTAAGCGCTCGAATCTGATCTGGCAAAATTTTAAAGTTATTCCAGTAGAAAAGACGCCCAGCAGCTGTCACCGCAACAAGAGGGTTGTTTTGTACAACCATTTGCTCAATCCACTCGTCGGGAACATCTAGATTTTCAAAAAGTGTTGGCACAGTAACTTGTGTGACTTTGCCAAGTGTTTCACGATTCCAGACATGGATCACCCAAGGGTATTCTGCATTTTTGCTGCATCCAGCTATATAAATATCATTCTTGTCGATACTGATTGAATGTATGAAGAAGCCTTTTGGCAAAGTCGGTGACGAAGTCTGTTTAAGCCCTTCACTGGTAGAAAAGGAGTGTAATTGTGGTTCACTACCCACGACACATGAAACTATAATCAATCCTGAATGCATAGCTCCCTCTTCTATTCCGAGCTTTTTAGGCCATTTGGCGTTTTCGATTTCTACACTGCTAAATGAGCGGTATGTAAAGCTTCTGAGGTTCAGAAGCATTAACTCTTGGCTAATAGAAGAGGAACCGAACAATATTTCATTTCTAGAATGGGAGACAACGGAACACAAATAGAGAAAGGTAGAGGAGAGAGAGCAGGATAAGGTAGGAGACACCTAGTTGGTACGAAGTAGATTGATAATGCCAGCGGAATATATCCATATGGGATTGCCGTCGAATACCTAATGAATAATGTGCAAATGCGATGCTTTTATTTTTTGGGGCTTTCCTCGTTCTTTCCTGACGCTTTCTCAGGATAAAAGATGCAGCGATAAGGAAAGGTGATAAGAACGAAATTGCTCAGCTGTTGTTCAATCTAGAAAATCCCTAACATGTTGCTCCCCATCCAAATGAAACATAATTATGCAAATCAACAGCGTTCACCTCCCCTTTATTCTGCACGGCCCGCTGAAAAATAGGGACTGGAAAAAAGACGTCCGCTTGGGAAATGCCGTTGTTTTCCAGGCGCCCCACACAAAGCTGAAAATAAAAAAAAGAACATACATTTGAGAATTACGCAGCTGATCGAGCTCATTCACACCCAATGCTACCAATTTCTGAGAATTTTCTTTTTCCGGACCAGACCTTGTTGCTCCCCGTTGGGCTGACGAATATGCGAAGAATGATTTCACATTTATGATGCATATACTGCTCCGTGTCACATGCACGAGCAGCACTCCCTAGCCTTAGAAAATCGTGCTTCAGCACCGTCACCTCTGCGTCACGATGAAATTTGTTAACCCATTTGATGAGTTCGGCCATGTCTGAAACAAAATATCCATCCGTTTGTTTGCTTGGGTCTCCGTTTGCTTGGCTGCTGGCATCTGTTTGTTTGAACAAGAACAGCGCAGAGCACCAATGTTTCGTTGCTTCAAACAGTCCAACCTCAGAATTGCGAACACTTGTGCCGAGAGTCCGAAGCCTTGTAGTCAGTTCAGGGTTTTTGTACACATTTACATCGATGGCCATTGTCGCATTTAACCAATTTCTGAATTTGGACAAAAGAGTATCTGAGATTTCTTTTTGTCTGAGTTGTTGACTTAGCTGTTGAGCATTCAACGCAGCGAGACGTTCCTCATCCGAGTCCAACTCAGAATTTTCGACATGTCCTGAATCTTTGTGGATATCGTCAAGGTCCGAGTCTCCTGCGACCTTTGACTGCTTTTCAGGCTCGGGAGAGAAAATACCATGGCATACCGGCAGAGAACTCGGTGTTGCTGGCACAATCGCATCGCCAATGTTGGGTACTAATTTTGTATTCGTATATGCGTTTGGTGGTGACTGAGGAATCTCTACTCCTGTCGACCTTTGTGCATCGTTCTTGGCGTATGGTGGCGGTAGTGCGTTCGGTGTTACTCGTGCATCCTGTGACGGTAGTGCGACCGGTGGCGAAAGTGTGTCCAGAAATTCCTCAAGGCCAAATTTGGTCCAGTCCACTACCTCAACATCGTCTATAGAGTACATGTCCATCATATTGGATATACTGATCTCTGCGCCTGTACCGCTCAAGCGTTCCCAAACAGTTTTCAGATTTTGCTGTGCATAATCGCTAGGTTTTATATATACCTTAAAAGTCTTCACAAGAGATAATGATCTGATCATACGAGCCAATTCCTTCGACGTACTATTGGAAGGTGTATTAAGTTTCCTCGTCTTTTTGACAACGAATCCTAGGGAACGGAGATTAAACGGAAGAACATGAATCTGCTCTGATTTGATTATACCAGCATCGTGAACAGCAACTGCGTCAGAGTGGAGAAAATCACCAAGTTGCCTTATCGGACGAGACTTCAAAGCATAGTTAAAGTCACCATGTGGCGGAACAACTAATAATAACTGTGTTGGACGTTGCTTGCCATTAACCCGGCAAAATATGTCGAGGGAGAAATGGACACGAATATGTGCCTTTGAATCGCAGACTACTTCCATAAGAAGTTCGGTTTCCTCTTTGTTTGTATGTGAACGAGAACCTAGCGTAAAAGATTCGCCCAGATTATCAACCCATTTTGTGTAGACTCTCTCCTTTAGGAGAGATTTCAGCCCAAGATTGTCGATTGGAACCGCCATGCCGTGTACTATAAATATGATCAGCTGTAAACGTGATGAAGGATAATTGTATTGGAAATAATTCTCCCACACTATGTGTGTATCCCACCCACCCAGGCTAATAGAGCAGCCTTGACCCTTTGGCATGAACCGAATCGGAATGGATTAACCAACAGACACTGAGGAACTTAACCACTCAGCCCAAAGACAGGATGAGGGTTGTTCCCAAACAGCAGACACTGAGAAACTTAACCACTGAGCTTAAAGACAGGATGAGGGTTGTTCTCAAACAACAGACATTGAGGAACTTAACTACTGAGCCCAAAGACAAGATGAGGGTTGTTCCCAAACAACAGACACTGAGGAACTTAACCATTGAGCCTAAATATAGGATGAGGGTTGTTCCCAAACAACAGACATTGAGGAATTTAATCACTGAGCCCAAAGACAGGATGAGGGTTGTTCTTAAACAGTAGACACTGAGGAACTTAATTATTGAGTTCAAAGACAGAATGAGGGTTGTTCTTAAACAGTAGACATTGAGGAACTTAACCATTGAGCCCAAAGACAGGATGAGGGTTGTTCTTAAACAGCAGACACTGAGGAACTTAACCACTGACACAGCAAAGCAGGTACTGATGGACACGAACTGTGTACAAAGTATACAAAAGATATTATAGAAGCGGTCTCGTGTAAGTGCGATATAATAATAATGTAATAATCACTGTAACGTGAGTAGTAAAAATGGAGAAACGAAGTAGGAATAGAGAAGAGATAAGTAAGATAGAGGGCAGAAAAATAACGATAATAAATAAGACCGAAGATTAGAAGATTTTGAAGGGGACGATAACACTTGTCTATACTGTAGATTACGCTGACCCAAATGTACCGGGATAGTAAAAATTAGTAGATATGAAGGCTACCGTAGTTTATCACAACATACTATTCAACCGGCAGCCACGCTTCTAAGCCACACTTAAGGATTTCTGAGGATTTGATATTAATCAGTACACAGCACTGATTAAACATTTTAATGTTACAAATTGCATATAAAATTACTCTTCTAACTGAGCCGGATCATAATATCAAGTTCAATTGAAGTTAAATCAACAATTCTAAGTTGTGTATTGAATCTTAAGAGTTATCCTTAAACTTGGAAGTTTTGATGGTTGCTAAGAAGTGTGCTATAATGTGGGATAAACTTGGTCTGAGCGTTGAAAACTCGGAATAGCTTCAAAATTTGTCGATCTGTGATTGAGTACAGAACTTACAGAGTAGCTATAAAGTAATAAATCAGGTAGAAAAAATACTCTACTAAGTGAGCTGAATGTTTAGGAAAAAAGCTCAGCTCTTAATTTGAGTGAATAATTGAAGTTTTGTAGAGCTTCAAAGAATATAAGTGCTTGGTGTGGTTTTAGCTGTGTAGCTCCTCACGTGCGCTTGTTGGATAGTAAAAATCGGCGTTTGCTCATGACAGCCGAAGGCAGGTTGAAGCCAAGCTTGCGGCTTTTGTGATCTTCACCATCGAGCATCACGCCAGTAATTGGTGGCAAAAGGAATAAACCTAGCGATCTTGAGGCAATTTTTGGATTGATTTTTTGATTTCATTGATGGCCGCCAATATACCTAACAAGGTATAAGCAGCATGGCAAGTACCAGCGCCACATGTATCTCCAGTCCTGTACACCAGGAACGGGCGAGTCGAGTCGAGATGTGACTCAACGCGCCGCAACTTGCACTGCACGTATGAACTGGCAACCCCATTCGCGCACCTTGCTGTACTTGTACACTAAGCTCACAAAGCGCACTTCGTTTGCGGATAATGATTAATTACCAGCTAGAACTGCCTACTCTTCATAGGAGGAAAAAACGTCCCTTTCGCGCACGGACCACACACCAAAATAATGGGTTTTACTGGCTGCGAAAAGGACGTTTTTTCTCCTACGAAGAGTGTCTACTCGGTCAGCACACGTAGGCAACCAACTTTGGGCCTAAGGCAAAACAATGTGCTAAATTAACGTTACCGCACACTAACACTCAAAACAACTCTCACTCTGTATAAGAAAAAGTCAAACCACTACAAAAACATTGATTTCCAGCTGCTGCAATGTCTGTACCGGTCGCACCAGTCCAGCACCTGGAGAAAGTCGAGCTGAGCGGATCCAAGATCGATATTATTCTGTCAGAACTAGGAGAATGGCTTCTGAATGCCAAATTTGACCTAGGTGCAAAAATAGACAAATGTGCAGATACAGAGCTAGGTCAGCGGTGTCAACCCCTCTTTGACGAGTTAGGATTACTTTCTAAGGCAAGAAGAATCTTTTTCCATTTTGTAATTAGAGAAGTTTATCTAACTTTTTACAGTTTCGTACTCAGCAGACCCGAACTCAATACAATGTGATACGAATTCATTCTCAAGAGCCTATAAAATTCTCTGCCTCTGCATGAGAAACAGACCTTATTCCTATACGAGTCATCGAAGGAGATCCAGTTGTCTCTAATTCTACTTCCGATTTTACTTCCCATCTCAGTCAACATCTAAATCCCGGATCGATGATACATATCACTGAGGATATCATAATTAGTCCTGCATTATATTGTCTTATTGTTGTATATAGGCGATAATAAAAGGGGAATTAGTCAAGTTATCTAACTAGGAAAATCATATGATACAATATCTCCAAAGGCGAAATCATTTTCGGTATCAGCAATTGGGAGAAACGATGTATCGGAGGCGTTGTGTGTAAACAAAGGGAGCAAAGACACATCAAATGAAGCGAGTTGACCTAGTTCTTGCAGTTCGAAGGCTTGCTGAGATTGCATTGTCCATTGTGAAGGATCAATGGCTATAATGAAGTTAGCTTTGATTTTTTAGAAGAAATTCACTTACTAAGTTCATTGACAGATGTACATGATGTATTGCTAAGTGCTGCGGTCGTTGATTGCTCAAGAGCTATACATATCAGTAGAGCATCTCACATAGCAGAATATTAGTTTTATATTACCTGCAGCTGCACTTAATATATCCATTGCACCCTGATCATTATCTATGTATCATAAGCCTTGGACAACTCTTCAGGAATTAGCAAACTCGTACCTACTGAATCTGGCAATTGTGTGCCTTGGGTTATACTACTAACAGGATCAGCTGCCACAGATGAGAACGGTTCGTTTTCAAGCCCAGGTCCAGGGTGCGAGGAGTGCTCTTCCTGTCGGCTATCGTTCAAATCTGCATTCAATTGACCAGAGTCGGTCGGCTGTGTTTCTCGCAAGATATGGTCTGCTATGGTGCCTCGAATTGCGAGCTGCGTCTTGGACTCCCATGGAAAGCGGAAAAGGTTATCTTTTGCAATCAGAAGACCTCGTTGAGTGTAATATCGAAGCTTAAGAGCGTGGCATATCTCTGTATAACTGTTCAACCCAATCAGTGATATTCTCAGCGTAGAAGTAAGGGCCATGTACTCTCTATTGAGCGCAACACTGATGCAAAAAGCAGGATGGAAGCGGGAACACTGAAAATCCGTTGCCGGAACGTCCGCTTGACTGAGAATTTCTACAACAAGGGCAACGACCTTATTTCGTCTTTCTTCAGACCTGCGCCAAAAAAAAATGGCCCAGCTGTCGGATATCTGTAAATTGTATATTCCGCCAATGTTTCGTTGCAGGTTTTATCCGCTCCATTAATGACTCATGAAAAAATTTCAATTATCCGCTCCGCCAACGTGTTATCTGCGAATTACCCGCTAGGGCCGTTGTCCGCTCCGCCTATAATCGTTGCGCAGACTAGTACGATTCAATCCCTTCAACATTCAACGAACCATTTATCCATCCACCCACCTACTTCCTAATCTCAATATTGTCATCCAACACCAACATCTCACCCACCAAGCAATTTGCTCCACAAACGCCAAAACAAAGTCTCATTGGCAGTGGTAGAAGGATCTCTCTCGAGTTTTGAAAGATACAAAGCATAATACGTTGGAGCTCACAGAAGTAGCGAATTTAACGTGAATCTTCATTAATTTCATTAAGGTCATGTTCTTTCTATCCTTCTAATTCTTTGTTGATCTTAATCGTTACAGAGAAAGGAGAGAGAAATAAATGTGTTTTCTATCCCATATTGTTTGAGAATTACTTATTTAACCCCACCTCATTCCCTATCCTATGATATCGGTGCGCATGTAAACGCCCCTCGGACTGTTCCTTCGGCGTATTGTTTTTTCTGTTGCACATAGTGTATTAGTAAACCACACATCTTCTCAAGAGAATCAACGCAACCAAAGATCGACTTCGGCCTCCGCTCCCTAGAAAAGGATTGAAAGAAAAGAACTTACAATGTCTTCCACTGCCGCATACGTTCCGCCTACCAAAACCACCATCCCAATGACAAACACCGCCCCATTTACCACACTCAGGAACAAGTTTTCGCGCGCATACCATTTCCCCTTCTTGAGCAACTTAAACCACATCATGGCCGGGAAGTAGAACGTGAACCCGGAGACAAACAGCGCCGACACAATGGACAGCAAATCCGAGAAGAAGGGGATCGCTTCCGCAATCACCCATGCAATAATTGTGATGAGGCTTACAAGCCCCAACCATGTCAGCCAGCCTTTCTTCGTGTTGATGAAGCGCACCACCGAGTTCTTGTATACGCGTCCGTGAATATAGCGGGCGACGACAGTGCAGTTAATGGAGCCCGAGATGAAAATTACGGGCAGCGCAATGCCGAATGCTATTTTGGCCATGAGATTCCCGGCCGAGAGAAGTGCAGGGGATTGCACATCCTGCCCAACGAAGGCATAGATTAATCCTCCTGTGACTGTGTAGATGAAAATTTCGATTAAGCCGAGTGCCCAGATCGATTTAATGTAATCGCGCGGTGTGTGCATCTCGTCCATGAAGGAAAATTGACACAAGGCAAATGAGTATGCGAAGACAATGTTAGTGATGGCGATAAACGCTTCCGAGAAAGAGAGATCCTGCTTAGGCCACGCAGACCAGTCTACTTGCGCCAGTCCTCCCGCTGAAGAACCAGATACCACGGCGGTAGCCACAATAGTAATGCCAATCGCGAGCATAATTGACACGAAATCGATATAGCCCAAGATGGCTACGTCCGCAAATGAAGGGGGAATTGCCAACACTAGCAGGATGACAGCCGACACAGCCCCAAATACCACTGAGCACGCCCCATTGTTCGACAAGTTAAGAAACGCAATCGTTCCTGTCAGACAATGCGATCCCACGGAAAATGTCAGCTCCAACGCAAACATCGCCCCGAGCAGCTCGTACCCAAACCGTCCCATCAGCAACCTCCCCGCATCCGCATAATGCGCCACGTGTGGAAACGCCAGTTTGACTTGCCCTATAATATGACTGGTATAGATGGCAATCAATCCAATACCGACGGTGAGAATCACCCCAGCTACCATCCCTAGCGTGGCAAAGGCTCCAGGAATAGATAGAGCACCGAGCGCAATAGCTTCCACAATTAAAATAACAGTTAGCCGCTTCCAGCCGAGTCGACTGAAATTCGCACGCCCGTGCGCCTCTAGCGCGGCGGTCTCTCCCATGATTCCTTCTTTGTCTTGAGTGTGGTGTGAACCTGAGTCCGGCGTGTACGGTTTGCTCGCACCACCTGATTCAATCTTGTTCGGGTCATCTTGGATTGCATTCATGGTTGCCGATTTTTATGAGATGGAGATTGAATGCGGGAGGTTGAAAGACCTTTTAGTGCTGGGCGAAAGAAAGCACGGTAAGGATGAATTATAGAGTATTGTATGTACAAGAAGTGGGCCAGGAGAAAGTGAAAATATGTCGAGTTGAGGGAGGGGGCAATGCAGAATTATAAACAGGTATGGGAGGAGTGCATGGTCACTAACCCAGTATGCCCGAGAAAGATACGGGAGGAAAGAATTACATTTGCTTTTTATACAGCAGAATTGAGAAATGCGTGGATGAGGAAAGCACGATGGACCTTCGCAAAACTATTACGAGAGATTTTCGCTTGCCCTCCGCAGTTTATGAAGTGATTTGAGCATCCTCCGGGCGATACCCCCGTTGTTGTCTGCTCGGGACTCGGGTGGCACCATGGAGGGAATTGTGGGATGTTTGTGGGAGTGGATCTCGTTCAATGACTCCTGCCACCATCTCAACATTTTCAAGGATTGCTTAACACTTGGATATGTAATGAGAACCCTTACATGTACTCGAGCAATGAAATCGCAATAGATCATTCATTCAAAATAATCTCGAAGAGTCTAGACAGTATAGTAGCAAATAGAATCGACGGGATTTAAAAGTGATTGAAGAATCAAGATTGTACGGAGTACGATGTAGTTAGGATGAATTTGCATATTGAAAACCACAATTACGGTCAGTGGGTGGATCTTTTTATGTCATTGAAACTGACTTTGCCAGCATAGTGTACCGGTATACTGACGACTCTGGCGAATTTAAACCAGATGAAGTTGGCATATTGCATCTGGTCCTCGAAGTTGCAAAAGCCAATAGATGAACATGTGCAGGGTCTTTGTGCTGTATGATGATACAGTATCAGCGAAGTATAGAATCGCAAAGTTGAGCATTGGTGAGTTGCGGATGAATATCAAAACTCGTCAAAGCAGAAACGAGGTGAAGATTTTTTTTTCCAAGTTCGTCATGCACATGACATGGCTCAGGGGTAGCCCTTGCCTTTAAGCGTTGAACCCCGACTTTTGCCCGATGATATGCGACGATACCCTTACTGCACGTGCCTTACTGGTACAACCTCTACTCTCAGAAAAATATTCTACATCAGAATATCTAGCTGTTCACCTGTTAAAGACAACCTTTTGAAACCCTACGTGAAGACTCAAAAGAAGGGTCTATATCCGTATGTGCCTAGAACAAACCAAGTACTATAAATAGCCGTCAAAGTTTTCTAGAAGGTAGCTAAAGAACGTAGCTCAACACTAAAAACATGATTGAAATTAAAATCACATAGAGTAGACAACTAAAGCTCAGTCACCAATAGTCGGTTTGTACATAGACTTGAAAGATCATAACGAAGTTGAAGTACAATTTTCATAAAATGCTTTTAATACTTCTATAACCATTTTGAAATACTGTGTGATGAGACTTTAACCTCTTGATTAGCCTGAGTAACGAAGCTCCTGGCGTCCACCAGTAGGTGAACAGATTAATAGGACACTTCTCAACTCTCGAAATTGATTCTTCAATTGTTTGATATCAGAATTGACCTTTTGTTTGTTCCATCTCTGATAAATTAATTTTACAATTTTACAATTTCTAAGATGTATAATTTGAGATTTGAAGAGACATTCATAAGTCCCATTTTGCAGTGTCCCCATCAGTTCGTACACTCACTGATGGTCCACCAGTCGTATATTTTTCATGACTAATCGATAAGGAGAGGGTTTTTCGAGTATGATTGTTAAAACATGTAAAATGACTCGTATTTCAATTCCTGAAGATTCTGATGAATCGAATCTAGATACAGGGCTCCTCTTGATACACACACTTTGTGTAACCTACTATTTTACTAGATACCACTCATTCTATTTTAAATCAAAGTATGATACTCTGTAGTAAAAAAAACTTTTTCAATATCTTATTAAATATTCAGTTGAGGAAAGTATACTTCTTGAAAGAGGCTTTCTATTCTACTAATTAAGTATATGTCAAAGTCTCGAGAGATAAGTATATATAAAAGACATATAGAATCTATTTCACTCAGCTTCCTTATGCAAAAGTTCCATATAACTAACGAAACATTTCTTGTAGAAAGACCTCTGTCTTTATGAGAGTTGGATGTATGTAGTATTACATGGCTCAGCGCTCTTTCTTTCTTTTCGAATAGAGCAGATAAAATAAACTAATCAGAAGTATGCCTCACTGCGTTTTCTATCTGCATCTCGAGGGGTTGTTCTTAAGGCAAAGCTTATAATAGCCAATTTTAGAACAAGAATATTGGAAATAGCATTGCATAAACATTAAGCCTCGAGTAGTGAGCACTGGTTCTCATCTTTAAACAGTGCATCACTAGTTATAGATAATTTCACGAATAATACAGCTTCTATACTTTTGTGATCGGGAACTATTACAATTAAGGGTTTGTACTATGCTCTGACTAGTAAGTTGTTGATGTCAAATTACCACCTAGAATTGTTGATAATCTGGGCCATTGTAGCTTGAAAATCGTTTGCCAACTCTGATCGTGTATGGAACGAGGCTAGTAAAACCAATCAAGAGCCAAAATTTGTAACATCGAGGAAAATGTGAAAGATAGATGATTTAATAGTATTTAAAGATTTGTCTTGTAATCATGAAATATCATAGACACTTCTATTAATATGCAAAGACAGATATGACTGATTAGGCTAATTCACGACACCCAATACTCATTCCATAGTCCAATTTGTAATAGTATATCATAAAATATTGTGTAGACTTTCTATGGATACAGAAAAAAGAAGTGTCTGAACTTGATTCTAATCATTCCGCACCCAGACCGAGATTTAAAAAGCAAAACTGAAACTTAAAACGCCACATTAAAATCATGTCACCACCTTGACTCCCTTGGCCAATTCTCGTGAATCATATCTTGACTTGCTTTATCATCGTCTGCAACCCCTCTTCGATACCCAAAAACGTCTCTTCCATCAACCCTGTCGGAGCACTTATATCACCGGGCTGCATCAAGAAACAACTCCTTAGTCTCGTGCAAGCACTCAGACAATTTCCAAGCTCCCTGGCTATGATCTCCGAAAATAGTCTCCTTTGATCAGCAATGTCGATTTTGAATGTGCCAAAATCGAGTTGTGGAAGCCCGAAAGGATTTGAGGATGGCGAACTAGAGCTGGAGGGTGTGTTTCGGGGTGATGGAATGGAGGGTGAGCGCCTTCGATGGTCGTCTTGAGTAAATATGAAGCAGGCTTGCGAGTAGAGATCGTGAATATGCTTTAGCGCGATCACATAGATCATTAAAGGGGTAAAATCCATCAATTGTGAAGAATTACAGCTATTAGCTGATTGAAGTCCAGAGTGAGTAGAGAAAAAGTCTTCCGGGCTTGCACTTCTTGCTGTGTTTGAAGATAGTGTACTGTCAAATATTTGAGCCAGCTCAGATACTGCACTTTTGTTGGTAGCAAGAATCACATCGAGAGATAGAGACGATGGATCTCGAAGTAATTTTTGGAGTTTGTTAATTATTATGAAGCACTTTGACGTGAAGCGCCAAGAAGCTTCATATTGTGTGACCGAGGAAAGTATAGGAGAGGCCATATAATGAGATTGGGCTGGAAATGAGATTTTGTTATTATGTGTAGTCTGTGGCATTCGATTCATACTTTGGTGGTTCACATTCGTTTGACTCGTGGTAGAGTGGCAGGTGAAACCTCGATCAAAACCACAATCTGCATCGAAGGAAGCATTACTCTCCGGATACTCATACATCTCACGAGAGAAGCCATGATTATGATGCTGTGTTGAAATTGTTGGACGCGTATATGATTGGGATTGGGATCTCCATCGCAAATCATTTTGGGCGTGTTGAGATTGTTTTTCTGACGAGTCTGAATGAGTCCTTTTCCGAGAAGGATGGAATGTAGGAATTGGTGAAATCGGTATTGGACCAGCAATTTGCCTCTTGGGACTCCTGCTATCATCTTGGGAGCTGGTAGTCGCAGGAACTTCATGAATTGAAAAGTCATATTCGAAGTCTCCATATTCCGGATTCTTCATGCTATCTACATTCGAGGGGTTCTCGAGCGCAAGCGAGTTGAGGACATCAGCTCTTTCGTCAGAACTAAAATCCCATGAGAATTCGTGTTCAATTATTGGAGTCTCTAAGGATGATGTATCTATGCTTTCCAAGCTCGTCGAGAAATTCTCTGGTGCCGAGCTTGTGGTAACTTTGTCGTTGTTTTCCCCAGGAAGAATGCTGCAATGCGTAGGTGAAGAAGTTATGGCCTCACTACTTTCCACAGGTACATCGTTCGGCTTGCTGTTCAAATTATTGCCGTTGGCCTCATTATGTATGACATCCGCGCTTGCCACGGTTATTATCTCTGTTGAAGTGTTGATATTTAATGACTGGTTACCAGATCTAATGCAGAACTTGTTAGCCATTTGTTTTCGCTCTCGAATGGGTAATGATTATCTGGATTAACATGCCTAGGAGCTGTTCCTGTCACTGTTGTATTTTTAAGGACTGAAGCTCGCCTCCGATGGCCTTGCACTTTTCCCACCATGGAGACACTATAGGTGCATTTTTGTTGATTATATACACACCGTCGACATCCTGTACGTTCTCCACTGCATCTGACCTACTCCAAATGAATATTTTAAACGGTTCTGGGAGGGTATTAATAGTTTCTGACCTTAGATGCATGACATTCATTACAAGCATGTCGTAGCTTTGGAGGTTTTTGTGGTCTGTTGTTTGAAGCCATAATTAACATAATTTTCAGCAAAAAGTTGGAGATAGAAAGAAAGAAAGTGACCTACGGTGACATGAGGGGTGGTTTGAGTGGTTTGACTGATTTAGAGGCAGAAGAAGTAGAATTGATGTATGAACCAAAGTATGCTTGAGTGCTTTCTTGACAATCGGTCATCGGAGAATATAATCAAGTTGATATCCGTATCGAAGCTATCGTTATCTTTTTCGATTTCTCTTTGCAAATGTCTTAAGTGGCTCACCCGCATAACCCACTTGCATGTTGAATCTCCACGCCTGCGGGACGTCATGGTCAAATTGATTAACTTTCGCATCTACTGTAGCCATTTACAACCTAGTGGGCGGTCCACAAGATGATATGAAAGAGCCTTTCTACCATCTGAACCGTAGATCTTATTGCCTTCACAATGTTGATTACTGATGTGTATAGTCTATATTTATTCTAATATAGTTAGTTTAAACAGGGGATACCCTATTCACGCTTTACTAGCTAACATAGGCAGTGATATTGGCGTTGAACAAAAAAAGTCCTGGGCATATCATGGTAACTCGCTTGAAGCATGGCCCCCTTGCAAATCTGTGGTTTCAATCATATCTGTCAAGCATAGTCATATTTCCCCAGAATTTAGGGTTACCGAGCTCATACCGGCATGATGACACGCACATGGATAATTCGGTCTTCAAAACAACGCGTATGCTATCTAGAACAATAACGGACGCCCGACCAAAACCCTAAAAGTAGAGTCAAGGGTTTTAGATGGTATTTGGATCTACTTTTCGCGACTGGCATTAATAATGAGCATGTCACTCACCTGCTGATTACAATCAATAAGGTTTTCACCAGTGATAAATACCTATGTAGCCTTAAAAGAAAGCCTCCACGGAGGTATATGGAATAACTTTACTACACCGCTTTTCTTCTGCAACTAAGAGAGTCATTCTGCCTGAACAATCTGATCCTGGCTGGCTAACGAAGGCGGTATAACATAACTCAATTCATTTATTTACCTTCTTAATGCTCCTCAGTTATAGACGCAGTCACATATTCTATTTAAGGAATAACAGACAGATCTGAAACTTAGACCCCATTTGACAATCACATTTCCTGAAATCCTCGTCTGTATAACAATTCACGAAAATGACAGTTCAGCACGAATTCGAAATCACGTCTGTAAAATAATCGCTATGATTCAAAAATTTGGTTCAGATGTCTTGAAATCTGATCGTCAAACAGGCGCTAATCTCGTATTTCGTGCGTATCCAGACCCTGACAATTACATATATGTCGAACTAAATTAGATACAGACAGCCAAGCATTTCCGGGCTGACCCGTTATTTAAGGAATTGGGGTGGTTATCTGTTGTAAGTGCCTGGATCGGTGTTTTGGTTTTCCGTGATTTCACATAAGGTTTAAACCCAATTAGTGTGTCGCCATTCCAATCGCTCCCGGTAGCTACCGGTAGTCGACAACCTTAATCAGTCCTCAGAAATTTAGCTATAAAAACTGTGACACAATTTGACACTGTCAGGATTCATCTTGTTTAAACTTCACACTAGAATGTCATTGGGATGAATTGTTTCCGTCTTTGGATCTTTCCCTTCAAAAATACATGCATGTCGGAGTCTCCCCCAACTGATCTCAAACAAGCAAACATTATCCTCCCAATCTTAAAACGAGCGGTAATCATTGCATTCACAGGAAAGCCCCCCGTTTTCACGCAGATTGTTTTCCACTTTATATTTTCAAGTCAAACTCTACTTCATTGTTACACATTGCAGATTTCCTTCTCCCTTGATAATCAATGCTGCTGATTAGTAGTAAAGGTGGCATTTTGGTTTCCCGGAGTTAGCCCTAAACTTTATTTTGAGTGCTACAATATGTAAGTGGCGCAAGACGAAGGAGTCGCGCAGATCGCCTTCATAACCACATCCACGAAATGTCATTCTGACGTTCTGTGAATGGCTAATAGACTTGGTTGGCAATTTCATTTTACGCTTTTCCGTTATCTGTGTTGTAGATATATCAGAATCTAGTCAAAGAATCTACATTTTGTACCACGTGGTATTCACAGGTCGGCCGCCCACTTTCGAGATCTTCTTGCAACAAAGGCCGCAAATTATCCACCAGCTTGGTCAACTCCGAATTCCCCGCAGCGCAAAGAGCTTCTTTGATTGCTTCCACCATCGTATTGTCCGGACCGAAACGTTCGCGACTCATAATCGCAACTTGTGCAGGAAGACCCACTGTAGCTCCTGGCAGTGGAGTTGAATACAGCACGACCCAGTCCACATTTTGCGAGTCGGCACCCCAGGCCAGAAATGCAACGTGGTCTGATATATGGCTCAGATGTCCTGTACATTGGCACAGCCAAGCATCATCGAGGCCAGCAATGGGGGAGTCAATTCCAAAGGCGGTGTAAATACGTTCTGGCTGGTTGAGGGGAGTAAGAGATACCAGCTCTTGGTTTGTACAGGGCCAGACTCCATTCATGACCGGTTCATATTGAATGACAAAGTTCTTCGTACGCTCCCAGTAATATTGTTGAGAAGTATGGGTCATGTACCACGCTCCATAGAGCCAGTTCTCTGGAGTAGGAGTCCATGATTTGTCTTGCACCCCGCCGATGAATGATGGAGGTGGTCGGACTTTGATCGTTGCTTTCGATTCGGATCTGTGGCTTGTCATTGTATACTCGGTCGAATACAGATGCCTTGGAGTGAGATGTATGTAAATTTGAGAAATTGAGTTGTGAGATGTTCGAGATAATTTGGAGGTCGAGTGCACCTCAGCTTTTATCTTATGGCCGGTGTTCTCAGTATGCCATCGGCCACCGCTGCTATACTCGCACGTATCCTCTTATGCCTCGGTTTGCATATACTTGGAGTTTTCAATCCGAGCTTTGAGTCAATGGTACAACTTATCTCTCGGTTTCACTCAATATTATCGTCATGCCACTGTTTAAGTGAAATGTCTCTTTCTGTAAAATGCCTGGCAGTCATAAGCTATCTAGATCACAATCGTTTGGTGCACATGCTTTTGTACAATGCGTTGTACTAATCTATAGAGTGGGATAGTACCATTTTTGCTAGGCTACCAACCCAAGGACTCAAAAAGAATGCATATCGATTCAGATATAACTGTGTGAAATCGGGGAGTCGTGATAGAACAAGACTTTGCAGTGATATGCAGCTATATTTTGAGACTCTACAAAGATATACTAAATCTTATCAAGTTCAGTTTTCGTGCCCAGCAGATTCTCGTTACACTTACGACCAGAGAAGTCGACCAGCTTTTAAGCCAACACTTGTACATCGCAAACCCCTGGATATTGAAATATCTACAGTATTTGTAGAGAAACATATTTGTGTAAATCTAAACATAAACTTGAATACGCCAGATAATTACAACAATTCCCACGCTCTCAATGTCCACAACCCTTCGAAATGTCCAATGACGATTTTTGGTTTCTATTACTTACTCGAATACAGGCGTAATCCATTTGTTCCAAGTTTCGTCCTCCCTCAATCTCTTGGCTGCTGATTTCTCGATCCAAACAATCAAATCTACATTCCCATTCCGCTGTGCCGGCATCGGTACTACTCTAGGAATGCAGTCTAAGAAAGGATTGGCCATCCTCAAAGCATCCTGAAATCCCAAACTTCCACCCCAGTCCTGCTCATAAAACCCCATATCTTTCAAATTACTAATGACCAAAATAGGATTTAGAGTCTTGGCATATGATACACGTTCCTGTGTAATATCGCCCAAGCCATCTAGGAACCCGATAATGTCTCTTATATGCTTATCATTAAAATCGTTTCGTGACTCGGAGATAGCAAGTGCTGCTTCAAAAACGGACTTCGGATGAATATCAAGGGTGATGGGAAACCCCAGAGAGGAATTTCCCATGAATCTCTTGGGCAGTGGTGGATCAAGAACTGTACGACCATCATATGCAACAGATAAATTTCCCCGTAAAAGTTTTTGACTCCCGTTCGATATTCTGGCACGGTTGACGCAACACCACATTAACGCAGCCAGTGCATCGTTCACTGTTAACCAGGATGCCGCTGAACCTTCTGCTGAGATAGAATCTCTGAGCTCTCCCAATTTTGAGTTGGAAATGCAGAAGAGGGCATTTTCCATCTCAGTAATTGACTTTGGGGGAGGGTTGATAAGGTGATTTCTAGGATCTTCGAGCTTTGAATTGGCAAGTTGTAGCTTGTATTCTCGAACATCCATTCGCTCAACATTGAGATTTCCGCCCATGAGTGGGGTTCTATCAAGAAAGCTAGGTAAGACCTTGTAGTCTTGCAAGTCGTCATTGAGGGACACTTCGGCTTCGGTGGGCCAAGAAGCTTTCACGTTCTTCGATAGAATGGAGAGGATGTTATTCCAGGCAAGTACATCACATGCTGTATGAAGGACACTCAGATGAAGAATCAATCCTCCATCAATGAAGTTTGCCTGAGCAGCTATAACCGGCAGTCTTTCCCGAGTCATATACTCTTTCACTGGACTGAGGCAGTCGTCTGTGAAGAGAGTACTCGGAAACCTTGTCTTTCTTAAATTTTTGTATGAATGTGGCCATGAATTCCTACTTCCGGTACGGAGATCATTGAATATCAATTGATTTCCTTCGAAATCTCCAGGTAAAGTTTCGATGCAAAACTTTCCAGGAGAACCCGTAGGGACGACAGACCCGCCAAGAAAAGGGATTTCCTTTATAGTCTGCTCCAAACCTCGCTTCAAGTGTTTATGGATATCTTCAATGTTACTGCGGCGAGAGATTGGCCAACTGCAATTCATACTGATTACATATGTTCGAGGCATGAGGTGATCTAGTGGCGTCAACTCAGTGATTAAAGTTTCGGTCGCGGAAGGCATTGCCTGATTGGGGGGAGTGCTGCTAGACATTTTTCGAGAAAATGGGTAGAAAATTGATTTTCATTGAACGTCAAAGACCGCAGAGCTTTTGAACTGTGCAATGTCTGATGGGGCTGTGCTCTCTGTATTCTGTGATGTAAATGAACTGGGAGCCACTTTCCAAGGTCCGCGGGATATCCACAACCTGTCTGGGTTTCCGGCCACCGGTCATTAAACCCGAATATTCACCTTGCTGGTGATCAAAAATTTCCCATCTTCTTTCTAGTTGGTATTTTGTCTTGTTTCGTCCCCGAATCGAAATCATCAAGAGTTCTTGGAGTTTTCTTACCATGCATTCAACTTCTTCCTAAATATAGTCTATTATAAATTATGGAGAATCCAGTTTTAATCCAGAAAGCCCCTCGGCGATACAAATCTGCAATTCCATTATTCCTATTTCATGATGGTGGTGGAACGGTTTTACCCTATTACTTCCTTGAAAGCTTAAACCGCAACGTATGGGGAGTATCATATCCACACCTCAATGATGGCGGTACTTTTGAACATGGTATCAAAGGAATGGGCGAATTGTATGCTGGATACATCCGGGGAAAAGTCTCCAGAGGCAAAGTCCTACTTGGTGGTGAGTTTCCCACTTTCTTACCTACATAACATCACTCAAGTTTGCTACAGGTTGGTCTGCGGGCGGGTCAATAGCGATTCAAGTTGCAAAGTGCTTGGAGAATATTCCAGAACTTTGTGTCGCTGGAATAATCTTGTTAGATACGCCATATCCTGATTTTCCGGACTGGCGACCAAAGGATTCACCACCAGTTCAGTTTCATATTCCAGTCGTACCGGATCAAACAGCAAAGAGTAGATTGGCACAGCAGCAAGCTGTGAATGATATTATCCATGCGCTCTCAGTCTGGGAGTTGCCAACTTGGGAAAACGGAAGGTACAGTCTCTTCATTCTTTCACTTTAAAAGGTACATGCATGTTGACGATGGATCGAGATTCAGACGACCGCCACCCGCTGTTTTTATAAGGGCGCTCAAGGTAGTACCGACAGAGAAGGTTGTAGAGGTCGACTGGTTTCGTGAAGAATATGCTTTAGGTTGGCAAAAGTATCCGTACAACTTTATAGTTGAAGAGCTTCGAGTTGATGGTGATCATTTTAGCATCTTCACTCCTTCATATGTGGGTTGCTACCTCTAGAGCCTCCAGTTTCTGATTGACTGACGTGAATTTTTGTAGCTACCGGAGTTGAGTACGAAATTGAGGGAAGCTCTAGAGCTGCTAGATTCCAAACCAGAGACTGGCATATTACTAGATTCCAAGCTGAATAGCAGCATAGTAATTTCGGCTTTATGAATAGACACAATCAAAACACCAGGATAAATGTTCTTGACGTCGAAGTTGGCACAGTTTTGAATTTCAACCTTGAGGAGGCTTGGCGATTAGTCATGACATGAGAGTAGCTGGAAACGTGGAGGGATATTCATATGCATACGCGAATACTTGTATTTTTATTATATATTATATTGCCTATAGATTACAAAAATCTAAGTTTAAGAATATTGCATGAGACTACAAAAGTGAAGCCAAGATTGAATACTTTGTTCGATTCTAACGCTTCAATTTGAGTTCAGTTGCTTTGTTTCCTCAAAGCTGCCCGTGCTCTCGAACAATCGGAATCCGATGTAACATTACACCTGGAAGAACGGAGACCGAGGACCCACATCACCGTTGGAAGGCCACACGAAACCGCAAACATGGAGAAAGGTGAATAAGCTTTATGTAGAGACGATGCTTCCCCACAAGGAGCTCATGGTTCCTGCCACAGATCTGCATCTACCTAATACGATTTCTAGATTTCATCGAATTCAGATATCTTATCACAAATTGATTTCCAGTATTCTCTACTTTCTATCAATCGTTATGTTCATTTGTTGATTTTTTACGTACATTACTCTTACAATTATCATAACCATGTCTTTTCCAGAGCCTGTTGCCATCATTGGCATGGGTAAGTTATTATATGTGTTTTTTGAAAGAAACGAAGTAGCTAATAGACGTTCAGGATGTCGCTTCCCAGGCGACTCAGATACCCCAGATGAGTTCTGGAAGATGCTTGCCGAGGAACGTTCTGGACTTTCGAGGCCGCCATTATCACGCTGGAACATTGATGGCTTTCATGCAAACAAGGCTCGACCTGGTTCTATAACTCCAGAAGGTGGTTATTTCATTAATGAGGATATTTGGAAATTTGACCCGGCGTTTTTCGGTATTGTACAAGAGGAGGCGAAGGCAATGGATCCTCAACAAAGAAAGTTGCTGGAGTGTGTTTACGAGTCTTTTGAGTCCGGTGGGATTACGCTGAGCCAATTGTCGGGCTCCAATACAGGTTGTTATATTGGAAATTTCACTTCCGACTACTACCTTCAAGGTCATCGAGATCACAACAATCCGAGGCCTTATAGTTTATTAGGTTCTGGTTACACTATAATTAGCAACCGAGTTAGTTATCTTTTTGATCTTTGTGGTCCGAGGTAAGTTTCCTGTCAACTCATTTCTAGGTGCACAACTGAGAGTGTGCCAATAGTCTCACAATTGACACGGCTTGCTCTTCCTCTCTTTACTCTCTACATATTGCCTGCAGAGCGCTACAGACGAAAGAAATTGATGCTGCGGTAGTTGGTGGTACAAATCTGATGCTCGCCGTAGAAACCCAGATGAGTACAGACAAAGTTGGTGTTCTATCAGCTACATCTACTTGTCATACTTTCGACGAGTCAGCTGATGGATATGGCCGTGCTGAAGGTGTTGGTGCAATTTTTTTGAAGCGTTTGTCTGATGCCATTCGGGATAATGATCCTATACGTGGTGTAATTAGAGGCACAGCTACGAATGCGAATGGAAAAACCAGTGGCATCACCCAGCCAAGTGCGAAGGGACATGAGACTGTAATGCGTACAGCCTATGAATTCGCCGGTCTGGACCCAAGAGATACCTCATATTTCGAGACACATGGCACTGGTACTCAAGTTGGAGATCCAATAGAGATTAAGGGTGTTGGAAATGTTTTCGTTAACGGCACGGACAGACAGAAACTTCTTGTTGGATCGGTATGTTATATTGTCTGAGTGTATCATTTATAATAATTAATCTTCTAGGTGAAAACCAATGTTGGACACAGCGAAGCAGCCAGTGCCTTGGCAAGTATAATAAAAGTATGCTTAGCTATGGAAAAACGCACGATACCAGCAACAATTGGTATAAAAAAATTGAATCCCAAAAGTAAGTTGTACAGTGCAGCTACTAAGATCATGCACTGACTGTTCAATAGTCGATTTCAAGGGTGGAAGGATAGAGGTCGTTCAAAAAATGACACCTTGGCCAAAAGGCTTTTCTACTTGTCGCGCAAGTATAAACTCATTCGGTTATGGAGGAGCTAATGCCCATGCAATTGTCGAAGCCGCCGACTCGGTCCTACCTGGGAAATTGACTTACACCCGACGGGGTCAGGATGAGAGGGATCTGGAAGCTAGCAGTGAAGAATCTGAGTCAGTCGAAATGGTGGGAACGAAATCTGCCTCGCAGGCGCGAGCTGTATCCCGTTCAGAATTTCTTCTTCTTTTTTCTGCTCATGATATCTCTACGTTGAAAAGTAACATTGAAAGGTGTCGTAACGTGGCAGAAGATTATAACATACTAGACCTTGCGTACACTCTTGGCTGTCGAAGATCGAATTTCTTCAATTGCGCATACACGGTAGCACGAGAAGATGATGTAGAGGAGGATCTCATGGAACACGAGATTACGTTCGGAAAGAGGGGAAAGGGTGGAAACATTGGTTTCATCTTTACAGGGCAAGGAGCTCAGAACGCACAGATGGGTCGAGAACTGATGTTGACATTCCCATCATATATCGACACGATAAGGAAGCTTGACCGTTCATTGCAGTCTCTAGGGGATGATTCTCCCGATTGGACTATTGAAGATGTCCTGATGGAGCCTGCAGTAACCAGTAAGATCAACGATGTCGAGATTTCACAACCTGTTTGCACAGCCGTTCAAATAGCTCTTGTTGAGCTTCTTCGACTTTGGAATGTAACGCCAGTTGCATGTATCGGTCATTCGTCTGGTGAAATTGCATCTTCATATGCTGCAAACCTCATAACAGCCGAGGAAGCTATTATCTCCGCATTTTACCGAGGACGAGGGGTTGGCACTCTCAAAGTGAGAGGTACTATGTTGGCTGTTGGCGCCGGCCCTGAAGAAATACAACCTTATCTCACCGACGGACTGCGTATTGCATGCTATAACTCGCCTAACAGTGTTACATTGAGTGGTGATATTGAGCCTGCTACCATAGTTCAGAAAAAGTTAGAATCTGACAGAGTATTCGTTCGTGAGCTGAAGACTGGCGGTAGAGCTTATCACTCACATCACATGCTGAATATCGGCAATGACTACGAAAGTCGCTTGTCAGAAGCACTTTCTAGATTTGGCGCATCTCAAACCACGAATCAAGCTCAAGTGCAGAATCCAGTATTTTTCTCTTCCGTAACTGCTCAACAAATGCCATCCAATTTCAAACCAGGACCTAGCTATTGGCGTCAGAATTTGGAGTCTCCAGTACGATTCACTGAAGCGGTTGAAGCTGCATTGGCAGCAGATCTTGGAATTTCACAATTTGTCGAAATTGGCCCTCACTCTGCTCTAGCTGGTCCTTTGAGACAGATAAGAGACAACCTCGGGATAACACCCAAAGACTTGGATTATGCTTCCACCTTAGTACGTGGACAGAGCTCTGTGACTCGTCTTCTGGATCTTGCTGGAACTCTTACTATGAGAGGATTTTCGGTGGATGTCGAGCGCGTCAACGCCATTGAAAAACGAGAGGGTGGCGCTATAATTACAAAAACTGGCTTGCCGATTGTTGATCTTCCTAGGTTCTCATGGAACTACTCTGCCGGTGAGATAAGGAACAAAAATAGACCAAGTGAAGAACATCGCTTACGGAAATTCAAATACCACGACCTACT